TGCTCAAGAAGGAAACCCCGTTTCAGACAACTGGTTGTCCAACCTCTTCTTAAAAGCCTCCAGTGATGGAGCACCCATAGGTTCTGGAGGCAAGTCGTTCCACTGGTTGTTATCACTGTCAGGAAATGTCTCCTTAGTTCTAGGTTGGTTTCTCCTGCCTTCAGGTGCTTTGGAGAACAGCTTGATTCCCTCTTCTTTGTGGCAGCCCCTTAGATTTTGGAGCACTGCTATCATGTCATTCCTAGTTCTTTTCATTAAACTAGACATACTCAGTTCCAGCAACCGTTCATATGTTTTAGCCTCCAGAACCCTAATCATCTTTGTTGCTCTTCTCTGCACTCTTTCTAGAGTCTCACCAACTTTTTTTATATTTTGGTGTCCAAAACTGGTTGTAATATTCCAAGTGTGGCCTTACCAAGGCATTATAAAGTGGTGTTAACACTTCACATGAAAGTTAGAATGTTTATAGGTAATGGCCAGTTTGCCAGAAAAAAGCCTCTCTTATGTCATTACTAGATTCTAGAATGGATTTCCTTCAGAATTATAACCCACCAGCATTTCTCTGACATCTAATTAACTTGACTTCTCTGTGATAACATCTTCCCTTTGAATCAACATTCCCCAAAAGATAAGAGTGGCCCCCACCTTGTTGCTTTTCAACAAAACTTTGGAAGACATGGTTTTGTTGGTAGACTTGGGGCCTCATGCAAATCAAATCAAGTGACTTGTCTGATTCTCCCAAGGGGTGGGCACCATGGGGTGAGGGCATGAGGTGATTTTTCAAAAAAAAATGTGGGTTTTTATGAATTTTTAATGCTGTACACTGCCTGGATTTACTGCATATGAGCCGGGCAGCTATATAATTTGTTTAATTAATAAAAAATAATCACAAGTGAAGATGTTGTACTCTCATCCCATCTTAAGCACCTAAGCAAACCCCACCTCCCTTTAAACATATGTATTGACAATCCCTGTCTGGGGGTGATAGCATCTTGTATATACTTCCATCACTCCTGGAACTGCTCACATTGCTTGCTAGATTTGTCTTACCTTTTTGGGAATGTTTACAGGTTGAATTAGATAGAATAAGAAATAAAGCTCAGCTTAATTTGCTGTAAAATGCTCTGCTACACCTTTTATGAAGAATGTAAAATCAAATGAAGGGCAGCTGATTACTGTTTTCATATACATGAGCAATTAATATATGTGTGGCATATGAGAAACAGCTGGAACAACCGGAACAACCAAATAATGTAATTTCAGAAAACTACCCACTCTTGTTGTTAGGGAGGAGTGACTTAAATTGCAGAAAATCAAATCAAGTTAGTTTACAATCATTTGCAGAACTGGCCCTTTTCTCCATGAAGAATTACTGCAATGTGAAGAATCTTATTGGAGGAACATTAGAGAGAATGCCTGTGGGTTGCTACTATATTTTTTAAGAGGCACTTGCGTTGCAGTGATAAATTCCTCATTCACATTCTTCCGTTTGGTTGGGTGTTTCAGAAACTAAACAGACCAGCATCCTCTAGGAATCCTATACTCATCAGCCTTTCCCTTACCACATTAAACATATCACTCCACAAGGAAGTAGACTGTCTGCATGTAGCAGTGTCAAACCCAAACCAGACTTAGGGAAAATGAGTCAGTCGGGAGAAAACAAGTTCATGTCACAGGATATATGGTTCAGAGCTATTTTGGCACCCATCAGTCTCTCCATGAATATGTGGTCATTTATTAAGCCACTGAATATGGTCATCTCTTTGATCATTAAAGCTCCTGTTAAAAAAGGAAGTAGGACATCAGTGACAATGGAGAAATTATCCAAATAGTGTAATCCCAAGAGCAGGGCAACATTGATTCCATAATGCTCTAAATGAGGGCTTTTCCAGTATTAGGACTTTGGAAAGCAAGCCATCAAGGTTGCTGCTATGACAAATGAGAACATTTGGAGAGATTTCAGTGTATTTGTTTATATTTAAATCAAGGGAGGGGGGTAAATTTTAGCCTTCTGTTTGGTTTACTGTTGGTGGGAAGAAAAAAATAATAATGCACAGTCCCAAGGAAACCACAGAGAGTAGAACAAGGCCCTCCATTATTAACCAAATTTGAAACCTCAGTAAACTTAGAACTTCAGTATATTAGGTTTAGGACTATCCTAGGAGATCACTAAGGAGGAAATCAGCTTAGAGCTCCCCCTTCTACATTAGTCTAAGGCAGGGGTGTCAAATGTGCATGGTCACGGCGGCATGACGTGACGTATCGGGACATTTTTCCCCTTCGCTAAACCGGGTGAGGGCATGTGACGCATCAGGCCCGCGGGCTGCAAGTTTGACACCCCTGGTCTAAGGTAAGTGACCATGTTCAAATTTTATGAGTCTTGCAATCATCCAGGTCTTTAGGTTTTGTTTTTACAGCTCGTCCAAAGATTGTTTTCAAGTAGATATTTTTTTGATGTGATAGAAAGGAAAAATTACACAGAGAGCAATATCTTAACCATACTTAATTTAATTGGGATTTTATTAGGCTTTAATTAAATGTAATTTGTCCCATCTTCTGCAGAATTTTCAGCATGCCATTCAAAGCGCAAGTATGGTCTTCATCCTGAGCAAAGCCATGGATCCCATTTAAAATCATGATCCTGCTTCACAGGATCCTAACTGATGACTGTGTTTATTCTTCTGAATTTGTGGAATTTGCTGTAATTTATCGAAGGTTAATATAGTGACAAAAATACATCAAAACCCATTAAAATATGATTTAAGATACATATTTTGAGAACGCTATTTTCCAAATATATATATTTATAGTAAATATTGTTTAAATCAATGGTCCTTAAATTGGGGCTTATTTGGGTTATCTCACCAGGCTCAAGGTTGACTCAGCTTTCCATCCGGTGGTGGGATTCAAAAAAATGTATGACTAGTTCTGTGGGTGTGGCTTGGTGGGCATGGCAGGAGAAGGTTACTGTAAAATCTCCAGTCAGAGGTGGGATTTTCTGGTTCTCCAAACTACTCAAAATATCCACTACCGGTTCTCCAGAACTGGTCAGAACCTGCTGAATACCACCTCTGCTTCCATCTTTCCAAGGACCCAAATTGTTGGGGGCAATATGCTGACTCTGTAAACCGCTTAGAGAGGACTGTAAAACACTGTAAAGTGGTATATAAATGCTATTGCTATTGCTATTTATATTTGAGTTGAGGATTCAGTTTGTGACTGCTGTTGCTAAGATACTTGTATAAAACAACACCATCAGTGGTGATAATGGCAATGACATTATGTGAGATCAGGAAAAGCAGCAATTTGATCTGGACGGAAATGATCAAATATAGAGTGATTCATCTATTCTGCCTATAGATATTTGGGTTTCCATAACAGTTGTGCCCACAGTTGTTTCTTGGCCCTGCTTATTATTGTTAATTATTGTTATTATTTCCAAGCCTTTGGGAAGGGATGGAATCATAAGAAGAAAGCTGACCAACATTGGTTATGACAAATAGCATCCCTTAATATTTAAAAATGAAAAGACCTCATAAGCATTTTTAGAAAAAAGTGTTGAGCGAGCGCATCCCAGAGCTTTACTTGAAGTGTATTTCCCCCTGGGGTGTAAAGGCATCTTACGGATTAATAGGGCAGGGAGCAAATTGATGGATGATATTTTGGAATTCATTGTTGGAATCCCAAAGCTGCTTTTTTGCGTGTGACTGGCTACCTAAAGTGACCACCATTTTGTGAGAGTGCCCATGACAAGATTTTGAAAGCCAGAGGTACGCTTTGCTCAAATTAAATGGAAAATCCTTGGTGATTTCCTAAGATGAAATTTGTGTATCCCATGACAACATTAGTAGCCCTTTGTAAAGGCAAACACTGGCATTAGAGCGAGCAATATATTCTGAATAAGCATGCTTCATTTCCCTGATCACCCTGATAGCACTGCTGAGTATGTTAAGATTTTATGAAGCTTACTTAGATTATATAAGCAATTACTGTGTCCCTTCAGCTAGCAATCCTTACACTTGTAGGTTGGTATGTAAAACCTGAGCATCTGATATTAGTTGATTTCACAGACTGTGTCATATGGAATTATGATACAGGTGGTCCTCAAGTTACAACCACAATTGAGGCCAAAATTTATGTTGCTAAGTGAAACATTTGTTAAGTGCCCTATTTTATGACTCTTCTTGCCACAGTTGTTAAGTGAAGCATTGCATTTGTTAAGTTGGTAACACAGTTGTTAAGTGAATCTGGATTCCCCATGGACTTTGTTTGCCAGAAGTTTACAAAAGGTGATCGCACAACACTGCAACTGTCATAGGTATGAACCAGTTGCCAACTATCTGAATTTTGATCACGTGACCATAGGGATGCTTCAACAGTCATAAGTGTGAAAAACAGTTGTAAGTCACTTTTTCAGAGCCATTGTAACTTTGAACGGTCACTAAATGAACTATGGTAAGTTGAGGCCTACTTCGACTGAGATGGCCAGTAAGAGGTTGTGCCTGTAAAACCACAAAAATGTATTGCACCAGGGTGGGAAATGGGACAAATTATTGGAAAGAAATGTCTTTTGTTCCTTGACACAGTCAAAGTTATGAAGTCCCACTAATTGTCATTTATTCTAAACTTAGTTATACAGTCATTACCTTTTTCTGCTATTATTTCCAAAATTATTGTTGTGTACATTATTTTCCCAGACATTGCATAGCTGCTTTGGTAACTCTTCAGGGTAGGGCTAGTCTCTCATGAGTGTGCACCTGCACAGCTACGAGTATAATAGATCCATATGTTGGTGTTTCTAAGAGTTATAATAATTCACAATTACATGAACAGATGGCCAGGTGTAGGGTTTTTGTGGGGTGTTTATTTGTCCGCATTGGAATCACTGGTTTTATTTCCTAAACATAAAGGGAGTTAATGTAGAAAGCAAAAATTATACAGTCTCTTTTAATGATATCTTTTGGCATTTCATTCATACCAACCAACCCTCTTTAATTTAGATATGAAGAAGAAATAAACAAACGCGCTGGGATGGAATTCAACTTCACAACACTTAAAAAGGTAGGCAGAGAAACATTCTTCAGATCCAAGCAGAGAAAAGCAATTCAAGGGTCTAGGTAGATAAATCATCCCGAGGTTTGATTGAGCTTTTATACAGATAACAGAATCAGAGTTGGAAGGGACCTTGTGGGTCATCTAGTCCAACCCCCCGCCCAAGCAGGAGACCCTACATCTTTTCTGACAAATGGCAGTCCAACCTCTTCTCGAAAGTCTCAAGTGATGGTGCTCCCAGAACTTCCAAGGGCAAGAACTGAGCTTTTTTTTAAAAAAAAAAAAGCATTTGAATTGGATTCACATTATAATTCAGTTTTTACATTTTTGAAGTTTTGCTTTGTTTTTCACCTTTTTAAAGCTCTTTATCATTGCTACAACTTTTTTCACTGCCACTTAGAAAACAGGTATAATCCAGAATGTAATATAACTAGATGGTTGTTATATTGTTCATGGAATGAACAGGTAAAAATCATAGATGTGCTGGTTTGGGACAGTGGTCATGAATTCTTAAAGAGTTTTGCATGATTATAACTTTTCCTCTGAAAAGCAATTTAAAAGAAAGGAATTCAGGTCTTTTTCAGGATCATCTAGCATTCACTACTGATTTTTTTAGTCAAGCATCTAATTATATTGAATCTATTTAATATATAATGGAGAATTTTCCACCATTTCCATTTCTAAACTTTTTAATGATCCTTGTCCCAGTGCAAAATTCACTTAGGCCAGCTCTAGAAGAATGATTTTTCAGTGTTAGTTGTGGTGATTTATGTGGTGCTTAAGCATCAGAAATTCTTATTAGGGCAGGCTGCTATTATTAACTGTAAATTCCTTTTAATTGTGTTCATCCTGTATTATACATGGTTGCCTTGTTTATTCCCCTGATGTCTTTCACTTATGATTAAGTGATGACTAGTGGGCCAGCCCAGATTCCTTTTATTTCCAGTATTATTAAAATATTGTGGAAATGATATATATGGTAGAAAATGAGACCTGTACAGGATGTACATAACCTGACTTCCCTAAATCTAGAACCCAAAATTTGCAACTTAGAAATGCAAGGCAGACAAATCTCACCCTCTGTGATGACCCATAGAGTCTCTCAAAATAACCCAAAACCCAAAATATACAATAAAGTCTGGTAATGCCTTCAACTTAACTTCACTGTTTTATTAGGCACAGTTTAAAGTCACAAAAGTAAATAATGAGGCAAAAAGAAAACCAAAACAAACCGCATTGACAAGAGTTCCGAAGCAAGCCAAGATAATTGATCATACATTCCAGGAAGATAAGGGAGGAGAGTCCATGGGAAGAACGCCAACAAAGATAAACCTCTTTCAAAGAAAACATTAAACTTTGACTCCAGCAATTCTGACTACGTAGTTACAAACTTATATACATAGCTCCCAGCTGCAAGCCACGATGAGGATCATGGTAATCTCCTCCTGAGTAGACCTCGCTTTTCCCTGATCCTCTCCTCCCTGCGTGACCTAGGACGGATGGATCCTCCTCTGATTGCTCAGCCGGCCTCTGCCCTTCCCCAGCCTCCTCCACCACCTCTGGAGCCACACTCCCACTCCCTGTTGGCTGTTTCTCCTTTTCCTCAGAGTCAGTCTCCACCAGGGGCACGACACCCTCCACCCAATCTGGGTTGGATCATTGCATTCTTTGAACAAAAAGCTATCCCGCTGAATGACACCTTGTCCCAAACAATGTCAGTGCCCCTCTGAGTTATTGCAATATCAGCAAGTGCTGCTTATTCCTGGTTAAAGTTATTGTATTTGTCAATTATTACTTATTTTTACACATTAAAGTACTGTATTTATAAATTGCTGCATGAATGCCATAGAATCTCTCTAGAACAGGGGTGTAAAACTCGATTTAATTGAGGGCCGCATCGGGGGGGGGCTGTTTCACCTCGGGTGGGCATGGCCAGCTCAATATCACTCATGTTGGGGACACCTGTGGTGGGCCGAGCACTCTGCTAGTGAAAAAGGAGCATTGGAGAGCCGTATGCAGTCCTCCAGAGGTCCGTTTTTGCTGGCAGAGTCACCTCAGGCCAGTACTTCACTGTTCCCAGGGCAGCCTCACAGGCCAGATCTAAGCATCCCATGGGCTGGATCCAGCCTGTGGGCCTTGAGTTTGACACCCCTGCTCTAGCAGATATGCCCCAAGACAGTATTCAGAATTTTTAAAAAATCCAATCCACAACCTCTAACCTCTCAGACATCAATATAAATGGTGACTTATGACAGTTGTTTAATGATGGTTTGAAGTTCTGATAGAACCCCCCCTTAAAAAGCATTCAGATTTGACAGCCCCCGCACAAAATCATGTGATTGCATTTTGGGTAATCAGCAAATGGGCCACATATATGTTTGCAGTGTCCCATGGTCCCATGCAATTTATGGCATTTAACTTCAAATTTCTAGCAAAAGATGCTAGTTTGTTCAACAACTGCAGATTTGTTTATCAAAAATGTGTAAAATCAGGTTGGTCATGTGGTGACCCCACTTATGACTTAGGACCATAAGTCCATGCTCAATTATGATCCTAAATCACCTGAATTTCAAAATGGCAATTATAGAAAGAGAAGACTCAGGTCATTTCTGTTCGTTTCTAAATTGTATAATTGCTGTATTACCAATGGGGAAAACAAGCATTTTGTGAAGATATCTCAAGGAAATTCCATTGGCAGAGATTTTTCCCAATTAAAATCAAAAATTCTGACCAAATGCTGTTTTCAAATGGCAGTGGCAGAATGCTAATCCTGCAAAGAACACTCTCTCCTTCCGTTTCTTGAAAGTGAAATTTATGTCAAAAACTCCAATTAAAGTGAACAGTTGCAAACTCTTTTTCTCTGATCTTCATTAATCCATAGGACCTGGACAATGGCTTTCTCCACAAGACAGAATTGGAATCAAAACTAAGTGGACTTCATGCTTGGGTGGAGTTAATGAATACCATCCATGAGCAGGTAAGAAAAAGAGAGAGAAAGAGAGAAGGAACGTTCTGGAGTGGAGTTAGTTTGCAGTAAATGTCTAATATCTAAGTTATTGACAGCTGGTATGATCATCATTTAACGAACACTGCTTATTTGAATTTTGGACATGCCCCAGGGAAAAGGGCACTTACTCCATGAAGGCCAAGGGTATGTTTGCACACCGGTGCTGCTTGTACTACTAGATGCAAAGAACATCACCAGCCCTAAAAATAGATGGAACTGACCTACATTGGGAAATTAAATAGCAGACCTGCTTTCCCCCACCGCCTGATTTTATCCCCTCCCTTTCGTGTACTCCCACAAGCAACTTACCATAAATATTTGAAGCTTGGAAAGATTGTTGACATAATAGAAAAACAAAGTATATAGTGACAATTATACAGATTTTCAGAGAAGGAGCTGAAAACTTTCATACCTGCATAGAGCTCCTCAGGCTTTGTGCCTTGGAGCATGTGCAAAGTGAATCAACTCCCACTCTTTTATTATTTTTATACTGGATTGCTGTCCTCCTTTCTGCTAATCATTAGCTTCATCACATGCCAGATCAAGTGTAACTTGCAATATCTTGTACACGTATCTTAACTTAATTCGAAGTTACATGAAGTAGCTAGGGTGGCACCTAAGAAGAAGAAGAACCAGTAATCTGTGTCAGTCACAGGCATTCCTGAGTGCACCTAGTGTGCAATTACATCTGTTACACATCCTAATTATTTTCACCTGGTTCAGTAGGGAACCCCCTGGTACTCGCTCAGCCCCTCTCACCTTCACTGATCTAGATATACAGTATATACATAATCAGACTGGAATTCTTCTTTCTCATAGCCTTGAGGATCTGTTTCTTAAAACAAGCCGTTATGAAATTCCCCCATCTTTACAGCCCTCTTATCTCTGTCAAGAATGGTTCACTGCCCTGCCTTGGCCTCTGAACTCATCTACAATCACCTAAGCTTTATTGCATTAAATACAATAAAGGGAAAATGCTGGAGGCAGGCTTGTTGATTGCTTGTCTAAGAAGTGCACGTGGGCTTCCCTTCTATGCTTGTTTCTTCCTTTTTCCATTTTATGTTGCATTAAAGGGTTTCCTTATTCTTACCCAATTGAGCTGCTAGAATTAAAAGCACTACTGGCAGAGGTAATTTGCTGCCCTGTCTCGTTGTATCCAGCTGTTAGTCCCAAAGGTGCTTTTTTTAAAGAGGCAACTGGACTTTCTGTTTTTTCTTGGAAGACATTTTGCTTCTCATCTAAGAAGCTTCTTGATGAGAAGTGAAACGTCTTCAAAGGAAAAAACAGAAAGTCCAGTTGCCTCTTGAAAAAAGTACCTTTGGCACAACCATAACCTGGATGACTGAGAATCTCCATAGATATCCAATTCTGTGTCTGTATATGATACTTACATTGGAGTATCTGCTTAGTGTTCCATAAGAACTTCAAGAGTGTCTTGATATTCCCCTGATCCCAAGTTTTTTTCTCTTTTGCCAAGCAAAAGAGCTGGGCCGACCCGAGCTTGGCTTCCCAAGTCCCTCCCAAGTCCCCTTCCCAAGGGGCCACCAGGAGAGACTGCAGCGTTTGGAGCTGCCGGTGCATTTGGAGATGTGTGGGGACGGGGACAGGCTGGGTGAGGGATGGAAAGGATGGGCGGCTTTGGGCTCTCTCCACTGGACCTGCTGGCCAGGGAAGCAGCGCTGCTGTTGCCTCGCCTCCCTGTCCGCGGATCGGTGGGTGCTATCACTGCCTCGGGCAGCCTCTCCCAGTAGCCCCTTCAGGGTCGGGCTGGAGGGACTTTGGAATCCAAGCTCAGGTCGGCCCGGCCCTTTCGCTTGGCAGGCGGGCATGTACCCACAGCTCATTCCTCCGGCTCTGCCCAGCCCACCCGGCTCCGGCGTGGCCCTGGTGGGATGAGCAGAGGGCCCGGCAGGGAGGTGCTCACTGCCTTGGCCAGAGCTCTGCCGCTGGGCAGGAGGGCCCGCCTGTCAGCTGCACTGGGCACCCCAAGCAAAGCTCTTCGCACTCTGCCCAGCGCCAGGCAGGGATGGTGGCTGGGTGCTTCTCCTGGGGTGGGCCGATCCTGCACTGTGGCCCCTGGAGATTTGCCTGCCCAAGTGGGGTTGGGCTGCCCTCTTGGGCAGGGGAGGCTTTGTCATACTAGTAGTAGGGCGTCGTTTTTAAAAGAATGGGCTTTGCCTTTGAACGATGCCCAGGAAGGTGGCAACAGGAGCGCCTGAAGCCGAATGTCTCCACCGGGCTCCAGTTGCAGAGAGGAGCACTGGCTGGCCATGCATGGCTGCGCCAAATACCGTGTGGCTGTGCCAAACGCCGTGGCGTTGCTCTAAATGCAGCGGCAGCACAGAGAGAAGGGAAAGCAATGGTGGCGGAAGGTCTCCCGATACGAAGTGCCCCACCAACGCCGAGGTCAACAGAGGCAGCACCATATCCGTGTGTGCAACAAAAGTACTTCCTAACGGAAAGTATATCCATTCATAGTTGAGCTTCCAGTGCTGAGTTGCAAGATCTAACCACTATAAACTTAATGTATGATTTGCATATTAATCTCAGCCTTTTGATCTAGGAGCTTGAGGAAGTGATGTCCCAGGTTAAAGATGTTTCAGTTGTGCTGGGGATTGATAACAACAGATACATGCCTGATCCCCACCAGATTGTGGAGGATGTGAGAGCTCAGTATGAATATTTGGCTATGAAAAGCTGGGAAGAATTGGAGGCACTCACCCGACACAAGGTATGTTCATGTACCATTAAAAGTTGTCCAAAGGACTTTTTGTGAACCTCAGTTGTACTGAATACCACTGAAAAGGAAAATAATTTATAGATGTTTGGTTTTGCCACAGCCCTCCATGCCTAACTGAACTTAAAAGCATGGCACAAAGAAATAGAAAATGGAGACCAATAGAAAATATAACAAAGAGATTCAGCAAGGTCAAGAAAGAAATAAAAACTGATATTAAAAAAAATCTGGATTAAATATAATAATGAGGCAAAGAATGAGAACAGAGAAGAAAATAAGAAAATTCATATGAACTCTAAAAAGAAAGCAGAAAATTAAATAATATTCAGATATAAAGCGTTTCATTATATTGTTTTAGCATATGGTCTGGGCATGTTGAGTCTAGAGTTCCAGATACGCAAGGGAGGGAGTTTTACTTTTGTGAATAAGGCCCTTGTAGATCACAAAATAATGGTTTGTGGGTGAGTGGGTGTTGATTTTATATTCCATGCTGTGGATGTTGCAAGAGGAGGGGGACAGGAAGCGTTACCGTATGTAATATTCTTTTAATTCTGTCCTTCAGCTGAATGAAAGAGAAGAGTTATGTGCTAAATATGGGGACCATCTCCTTAATGACCGGAGGGTGATTGCTGAGTTAAATATACAGATCCAAAAATTGAGGTCTTGCATTGTCTCTCTGAAAAGCCAGGTAAGAATGTGACTGGTAGAATATTACAAAATCACAGCCCTCCCCAAATACATAGAAATATGCAAATGAAACCTATGCTCTTGACAATAGCCTAGACGTAAAAAGAAAAGACCTAAAAATAAAATAAACATGACCCAGATCCCATATGTTATACATTATATGAAGTTCTGGTTATTTCATCTCATTTTGAAAGTTTTCATGCAAGAACAGGAAAGTGTTTGTAATCACATGAGAATATATTTGTTTGGTTTTTTTACTTCCTCCAAGTCAGTGTTGACTCCTGGCAACTGCCTGGCTTAATCCCTGTAATTTTCTGGGCAAGATCTTGGAAGTGACTTGCCCTTGCTTTCTTCCTAAGGCTGAGAATGAGTGGCTGGCCCAAGATCACCCAGCTAACTTTGTGCCTAAGATGGGGTTGGAACTAAGAGTCTCCTGGCTTCTAATCTGATGCCTTAACCACTAGGCCAAACTGGCTCTCAGAAAAGTGTCTGTGTGTACACTCACCTATGTATAAGTATAGATATATCTGAGGGAGATGGGCAGTTAAGAAATACGAAACATAAATAAATAGGTGTAGGAATAGGTTTAGGAATAGGTAGGTATAGGTATGTTTAATTTGGGTTTGTATGAATTTCATTATGCATGTTAAGGCTGCCATGATACAGTAAGTACCATGTTGTTATCTTAGTAAATTTACTACTCCCTTAAGTGAGCTGACACATATGATAACTATCAGTTTCCATCATCCCCAGCCAGATGTGCTGGAACTGAAGAGAAATGTAGCCCAAAACACTAGGCAGAAACCAGGCTGGGAGAGACAGAAATGTCTGCATTTATGACAGAAGTTTTTGAATATTAATATCTCAAAGAACAAAGGAGATAGAAATTACTACTGGAGAATTTAAGTCCGGGAAGCTCATCTGGCTATGTTTGCCCACTCAGCTTTGTTTATTTACTTGGTGTGGTTGATATAGAGTCTGATTAAGAAATATAATTATGTATGTTTTTCCTTTTCCTGTGTGGCTTAGAAGTATTCAAATTTGATGATTATCCAAGCTAATAGCAACAACCAAACTATTCCTGTATATTAAAGTTTATGGGGTAATAAAGGAAAATTGCAAGTGGTGGTAATTAGCTGGTGAAGATATATGAGCAGGCATTTCTCTATGACTGTGTGCTTGGAGACATGCCACAATTTATATCTACTACTGAAAGGACTGACATGCAGGAGTAAAGACATTTTTGTCTCCTTCCCAGTTCGACTTTTTATTTATTTCAAATGGGAAGAAAGAAGCGAAATAGGGGGTTTGAGACAAGCTTTTTCCCTTATTTGTGATGTTCTGTCTACTTAGTGTCTACATTTAGAGGAAAACATCAAAGATGCTGGTCTACAAGGAGAAACAGCCCTCAACGATGCCAAAGCAAAACTGGCAAAATTGGAAGATGCCCTTTATAATGCCAGGCAAGACTTGGCTCAGTTGGTTAAGGAGTATCAAGAGCTAATGAATACCAAGCTGGCTTTGGACATTGAGATTCTCACTTACAGGAAACTAGTAGAAGGAGAAGAAATCAGGTAAAATTGTTTATTTGAAGCTTCTGGCTATATAGACTGAAAAGAAAGCAGAGCTTAGGTGAATTTGCCTCCAAAATATCTGTTCAAAATTCTCCTGGGTGATTGAACTTCCTTCAGAAATTATTTCAGTATTTAAGCATCTGAGGCCTATGGCATGTCATACTGGGAAGTTTTTTTCAACATCAAAATTAAATTAAAAAATCAGAAAATACCAACAGAGTTATGGTGCATGAATGTGAAAATTTAAAGAAAAAAATATTCAGAATGCAACATTGCATTTCAAACATCAGATTCATATTTTGAATAGGAAAATTGAAACATTTGGCAGGTTTATAATACTTCTTGTTCTGAGAAAACTATAGTTTCTTTGATACAGACACTATGATGTATAGCTAGTATCTCCTGCCTGAAGAACTAACATTCTAGATCCTGCATGTTCTAGCATTAGATACTGACACTAGATACAGTTAATGTTCCGAATCCTAAAATCCTTGATCATTAAATCAGAAGTTTGACCTAATCTAATCCAGGTTCCTTTTAAGTCAAAGAATGAATTTAGTGTTTGTGTGGTGTTAGTGTGAAGAGAGTTCTTTCAATTTGCACAGGTTTGGTAGTTAATACATTTAACAAATATTAACAGTCTTCTGGGTGCTTAGAATTCCAGAGTTGCCTGTTCACTGGAATTCTAAAGATTGAAGAGTTCCAAAGAGCTTTGTATTTACTATCACTATTTTATTAAGTGCTAAAAAAAAGGAGGAGGTGCCAGTGACAAATATTCTTTATATATATCTGCAATTCTTAAGGATGTGTCAGTGTAAGAAACAGGGTTTTTTTATCCTGGCATCAAGCATCCATTGTTCTAGGAACTGTTTAGTTTTCTAGGATGGTAACCCTCAAAGTTTCAAGAATTTAGGAAGGTTCCTAAATTCCTTATTTTTAAGTTTTGCCTATATTGCTATATGCTTCTTCTGAAAACCAGTATTTTACAGTAACATTGAGCTAATTTGTTGTTGTTTTAATCACAGCATGGAGTCTCCATCACCTGCATTCATTAGCAAAATCTACTCCAGACCAAAGCTCTGTAAGTTTGTTATTTAATATTTCTTTGAAATGATCATTTTTTTAAAAAGGCATCCAACAATTGTTCAAATCACATTTGTTTTCCAAAATGTTGAAGAACTGAATGAGCTGAGATTATGCAAAGCTAGTGGGATACAATATCAAAAATTTGTGGAATGCTCTTCAAAATTATATTAATTCGGGTGTATGAGTACTAAAAGCAAAAATAAAATAGAAAATAACATTAAAAAGGAAAAAAAAACTGTTTTGTATTTTGCCTTTGCAGTTTTACCTGACTCTGGCATCACAAATGTCCCAGATGTGGCATCAGGAGCAAAAGATTTGACAAATAAAATGATCCATAGTGGAAGCAGTTTGGTAACTGGATTTTCTAGAAGTCCCAATGAAAATGAAGCCCTGACTGAGACTCTATTTGCCAAAGCCCACAGTGGAACATGTGACAATATCCAAGAGGGTTCTGATTTTGGAAGTCCAAGTCATATAAGTGCAGAATTTATGTCTTCCAAATATTCCAGAACTCAAAGTGGCGAAAGCAGTAATTCCTCTGGATGTAGATACCATAGTTGTAGAAAACAAAGCGTACCAGTTGGTTACCAGTCTCCAAGCCAAAGAAGCAGAGAGTTTGCAGAGAATGCTTTTGCTAGAAATCACAGTGGTGGTATCTCAGAAGACAGCCTTTTTAGAAGTTACAGTGGGACTAGCGCGTCCTATATAGAAGGCTGGCTTTCTAGAAGCCAGAGTGATGAAAATGAATGCAGAAATCTTCATGAAAATGAAGGATATGCTGAACCTGTTTCCACAACCACAAATACTGAAGGTGATGGGGTCCTTGAAAGTGGCATTTCTGGAACTCACAGTGAGATAAGCAGGGACCTCTCACAGGTCAGCCTATCTAGAAGCCAGAATGATGAACCTGAACCTAGAGGCAGCCATGAAGAATTTATTGGACCTATACTTTCTAAAACAAGGAGCACTGAAGATGGTGGAGTCCCTGTAAGCATTTCTGAAAGCAACAGCAAGGCCAGCAGAAATAGTTCATTGGATGACTCTTCTAAAATACAAAGGGACCAAAGTCAAGACTCTGCAGATACTATCTTTAGTCAAGGCCACACTGAAGGTACACAGGAGAGCAACCTTCCTAATTCCCCCAGTAATAATAACACAGCCTACTTAGAGGGTAGTGCTTCTGGGAGCCCTAGTGGTGAGAAAAAAACTGTCTCAAAGGATGGTGGCTTTAGAACCCCAAGTATAAGAAGTACAACTTTAAGTGACAGTGTGTTCATCAGAAGTCCTACTGGTGTAGATGAAGATCTGTGTGAGGAGACAGATTTAAAAATTCATAGTAATGCAAGAGAAAGTGCTTTGGAAAGTAATATTTCAGGAGATCCTAATCCCAGAAAGGAAGAACTTCCACTGCCTGAACCTTCTGAACTCCACACAACAGAGAATACAGGCATCCCAGGTAACAATCCTGGCCCTTTTGTATATGGGAGAAAAAGCAAATCAGAGAGTGGTTTTTCTAAAGTCTACACCAACAGAAAAGGAGGCTTAACTCAAAGTGTTTTTGCTAGACCTCACAGTGTTCCTGATAAAGCTGACTATTCTAGCAGTCTGGCTGATGGAAGTGAAGGTTTCGTAAAAGCTGTGGTTTCTAGACTCAACAGAGGCATTTTCGAAGGTGGTTCTTCCAGAGGTCAAAGCAGCAGAAGAGGAGGATTTGTAGATGCTGATCTTGTGAAAGACCAGAGTAAAGAAATCAAAGAAAGTCATGGGGATAAAAGTTGTCCAGATTTTGATGTCAGAAGTGCAAAGGAGGCAAAGGAAGGTATCTCACCATCTGGTCATTCCAGAATTGAACATGAGCAACCAGGCAGCTTCTCTAGAAATCTCAGTGATAATATAAGTCCTGTAGAGACCTCTACTCCTATTCAGGTACACAGAAGAAAGGAAGATGCTGCCGAACTTAGCTTTTCTAGAAGTCACAGTGGAGAAAGTGAGAGCTTTAAAGCAGCTGATTTATTATCAAGAAGTTCCAATGAAGAAAGCAGAGATACTCAAGAGGCTACTGGTTGTGACAAAGAAAATGAAAAATGTCCAGGGGGCAAGATTTCTAGAAACTACAGTTATACATGTGCAGTTACATCACACCCAAGAACTGAAACTGACAAGGCTGAAGATGTTCCAGAAAGCGGCCTAAATTAAAGTCACAGTTCTGAAAGTGGAAGGCTTTCCCCATCTGGAATTTATAAAGGCCAAAGTGGTGAAAGAGAAAATCAGTCTGAAGTTGTCCTTTCTAGAAGCTGCAGCAACACAAATTTCAATGAATAATCCGTGTATAAGCCATGACAACAGAAATGAGTGAAAGGCCAGCATCCTCACATCCCATTACCTTGGCCTTTGAGGTTTGCTCTGATGTGTATCAGTACTTTTCTTCTGGTGAACTGTTGTTATATCACTACCATTCACAAAGTAAGTGTCTCACAGACACATGAATAGGAATCAAATACCACATTCGAGAAGCTTAAGTTCATCTAAAGACTCATGGATTGTGGATGGGAATTCCATAAAAAGGTTTCTGTTATCAATGTAACAATAAGACTCAGAATTCTGCAGGCTTGAAGATGCTGACCCAAATCTTCTTTGGCTATTATAATTTGTGAGTCATGTTCAGAACTTTACTCATTTTTTTAATGCTATACTATATGGTGAGGGGACTAATATTGCAGTTGTAGTACAGATGTTAACTGCTACCAGTACAAAACATAAGCCAACAGTATATAATTTTTAACCAGTATTATTTACTATATGTTGTTTGTGGTACTTTTTCTGTTGTTTACATATATTATACCAAAATTTAAATATACATTAAAGCAAATAGCATGATGCTTTGCAAGAAAGCTTATTAGATGGAAGCTAGTTAGTCTAATTCACTGCTGATCTTTGGACTGATTTCAAGAATCCTCTTTTTGAGTTGATCCACTGAATTCTTAAAGACAAGGAAAAAAAATTCCATTTGCTCAGAAGGCTTTCACGAACCTTAGTGGACACCAGCAGTGAAAACTCAAAAACCAGTTCTTAAAAGTGCTGTTTAAGCTGAGTCTGTTATTAATCTGTTTTGTCTTGTATGCCTCAGCAGTCCCATAGGTTGTTTATTTGCACACCTATGCAGGTGGATAAGCGCAATCCAGTACATTGCCTGATCATTGTACAATCCCGTGCCTTGCATCCTTTTATCTTTGATTGTAACCTCTGAATACAGTCTCAAATTTAAATCTTCACTCAAGCCTTTGAACTGCTGATAGCATTTCAGCTGCAGATAATTGAAAAGAAATCTCATGCTTGCTTTTCAGTGATGGTAAATGTGTGGCTAGGAAATGGGTAGAAATATTAATAACAATAATTTAACTCTTATAGTTTTGTATAGCAATTTGCAGGCAAAATAGGGAGGAGAGGGAAAATGAAAAAAGTTTAGTTGAAAACAAGCTGAAGAAGTTTTGTCCAAATTCAGCTCCTATTGACTATCAAAATACAACCACATTATGTTTATGCTAGCATGGTGTAATTCTGGGGACATGGCAAGAGGTGGGTGAATATTTTTTATATATTTATATAAACCTAGATAGTCATATGCCTTTTCTTGTATTTTCAAACTATAACTGAAATTATAAAGCTGAAATTGGGTGCTGATATTCAAGGATTAGGCATCTGGTGATCAGAGCTAAAAAGAATGTTTAAGAAATTACAAATACAGGTTAACCATAGATTAGTTGGTTGAGCTGGCTGGAAGAGAAGTTACATTTCTTCATCCTCTTATTCCTATCTGTGATGGTACAAAAGTTAAGGGCCTGAGTCTCAGGTTTGTTGTAGGATTGAATTTGATGAAAATGCACTACTTCCAAAACAGAGTTGTTTATATTTAATTACAAAACCCCGTTATTTATATTTAATTCCAGATGTTGCATTAATGTCATTTGTCTCCCAGTTCTCCATCAATTAATCAGCCATCCATGATGTTTGACATGAGCAGGAATTGTATCACATTTTGGCCATTTGGCCAGGGCAAACCACACATGTGATTCCACCAGATGTTATGCAGCAAATGGGGCTGTGTCCCAATGCTGTTCAGACAGTTAGATTAAGGATGCCTGAAGATAACTGGGGCTTGGAATAAATGTAAGAAAGCCAATTAATAGGCAAACATGGCCAAAAGTAGTGCTTTCTTCTTGTTGTTATTAGTTACGAAGTTGTGTCCGACCCATCGCAACCCCATGGACAACATTCCTCCAGGTCTTCCTGTCCTTTGCCATCTTCTGGAGTCCATTTAAGCTCACACCTATTGCTTCGGTGACTCCATCCAGCCACCTCATTCTCTGTCGTCCCCTTCTTCTATTGCCCTCAATCTTTCCCAGCATTAGGCTCTTCTCCAGTGAGTCCTTCCTTCTCATTAGATGGCCAAAGTATTTGAGTTTCATCTTCAGGATCTGGCCTTCTAAAGAGGAGTCAGGTTAGTGCTAGAATCCACAAAAAGGAGAATGTTTCAATTGCTGAACAAAATGGCTGAATAATTGGCTTTTTTTGCACTAGGCCCTTTGATTACTTCTGAGTTTTTTGCTACCATAAATTAGCAGAATTCTCTTCCTACAATCCCACAAACCTCTAATTGATATCTTACCTTTCTGTAGTTTACTTGTCTTGTGTGCCATGGAAGGGAATGCAATTCCCAGTATTAGATGTATAGGTTATAGAAACACAGAACTGTATAATAACCTGGGCAGTCCTAAAGTCACAGATGAAGCTAGATCAAATGATGGGAACTAATAACAAGCAACTGCAATTTTATGCATACATATATAGGACTGATTAGTTGGTTGTTTACATGTCTTCAAGTAGTTTTTGACTCCTCGGGATCAAATAAATCCACTGTTAACATCTCCCTGACCAAACATGCAGTACAGAAACAAGCTGAAGAAGGGGAAGAATGGTTCCAACACAAATATGATGAAAGAATGACACTTTGTGAAACTAACTTACCTTGCAACTTTATGCAACCTGAAGTCAGGAAACTGCACCGAGGAAGCAATCAACCATGTGGGAAATCAGGAGAGAAAAAGGCCACAAAAGTTGTGTGATTGTCCTAATGATGGTTATTTCACATTCCTTAATCTTGGTAAAGAAAACAGTAAATGTAGTGTTTAAAGTTGCCTTTATCGTAAGGATCCATAGTGGTGTGTTCGCCCATTTCTAAAGCAAGGGTTTTAATACCTGTGTATAAACTGTAATTGAGAATCATAATTGTGCTAACAAGGAAGTAGTAAATGAAAAATCAGAAATTATTATCTGGTGATATTTTTGGTATTTGACAAAATAATATATTTGTAGCAATTATTTTGGTCTTACCGAAATATAGTCCTTTCCTACGTGCGCTAAAATTAAAGCCCGTTATAGCTAGCATTTCTATGCACTGGGATCAGACATTCATGCCTCTGTATTGTTATTTAAATACCATAGATGCACAGGTGAATGATTTTATTAAACCAAGATGTTAAATAGGTCTTCATTCCCATAACAGTCAAGGGCACTTCTAAACAATGAGGTTTTTGGTCAACAAACCCTTCCAGTTATGGTTTAAAGAATATGTGATATTTCTGCGCCATTCTCATCAGTGGTGGTATTCTACCGGTTCGGCCCAGTTCTACGGAGCCAGTAGCGCCAATGAGCAGGGGAGAGTGAACCGGTTCTCTCCACCGCTCTGCTGTTGGGCCCGCCCACCAACCCGGGCTCACAGACTCACCTTTATTCCCTGCTTTTGAAGCACAGCTGCTTTGCGCAGCGCAGCGGAGTGCCGCGCGGCAGCTGCTGAAGTGACAGCGAGAGTGCAGGCTTGCAGGAGGTGAGTTGGAACACCTCTGCGCCTGCACAAACACTTCTGTGCCTGCGCAAAGTGTGCACTTTGCACACACGCCCACGCAAAATGTGTGCACGTGTGCAAAGCGTGCCCACCAAGCTACACCCACCGAACCAGTGGTAAAAATCTTTGAATCCCACCACTAATTCTCACCATTGCAAAAATATGGTTATTACGACGTTGGGCATGATTCCATTCAAGGCTCTGTTCACTGAGAAATTTTGTCAGTCATCTACATATTTCTCCTCTCCCCATTTTCATCAAAAATACAAATAATCCTCCACTTACAACAGTTCATTTAGAGACCATTCAAAGTTACAATGGCACTGAAAAAAATGAGGTTTTTTTCACACTACAGCATCCCCATGGTCACCTGACCAAAATTCAGGTGCTTGCAACTGGCTCATATTTATGACGGTCGCAGTATCCCAGGGTCAGGTGATCACGTTTTCTGACCTTCTGATAAGCAAAGTCAATGAGGAAGCCAGATTCATTTAACAATCATGTTACTAACTTAACAACTGCAGTGATTGACTTAAAAAGCATAGCAAGAAAGGTCATCAAATAGGACAACTTCACTTTACAGCTATCTCACTTAGCAGCAGAAATGTGAGGGTCAATTGTGTTTGTACATTGAGGACTACCTGTATTTGGTGGCCTTCTGAATGGGGTTCTTTTACAAGCTAGTGTATTATGCTATTGCAGGAAGGTAAATAAGCTGGACTCTACCACTGAGAGTATGGAGGTCCTCTCCCCCTGGTGGGAAGTATCTCAAGTATTAGGATTATGATGTTCACTGCTTTGTGTTGCTGTTCCTAAGTGACAAAAGAAACAAGCACTGAATCAATTGTAAGATGTTATCTACATTGTTAATTACATTGTCATCTGATCTATGGGGGTGGCTTCTCTGCAATTATCAGATGGGAACTCAAAAGTCTTCACAATAACTAGATACTACATTTGAGCAAGACCTAGCTCTCTGTTCCTGTACCCATACTCTTCATTTTGCTCACTTTCTGTGGCTCAAATATCCGTTCAGTGAGAATCAACTCATTTGACAGCATTGAATGCAATATCGTTGTGTATATATATTGTGTTAAAATACGGCTGTGCTAAATAAAGTGGTAAGCTATTTAAAAAGAAAATGGTGAGAAAATAACCGGGGGGGGGGGGGGGGGGGGGGGGAATTGTCATTTATTCCTTTTGAAATCTTGGCATTCATGTTGGAATAATGAGTCCCAATTTTCTCTCTCCAACCACTCCTCTGAGCTTGCACACTTCATTGGAGGCTGATAACCCCAATAAACAGAGTGCAGGATGAAAGTGCATAGTTAAGGATTAGTGTCATGAATCTTCATGGAACCCTCCTCAAAGCA